ACATCAGGAGGCCACGAGAGAACTGCGAAAAGTTTCAATGCTTGCATTGTCAGGAAAACTGGCCGAGGAGGCATCCCCTGAGCTTTCCAGACCCACAAGGAAACTCCGGCAATGTCTTGCTGAAGTGTCAAGGGACTTTCGAGGATATTTAAATTGGGGATGCCTCGGGAAAAAGTATTTTACGGAAGCTTCAGGGAAGCATCCCCGGAGCTTCCCAGTTCAGAAAACATCGGAAAAATTTTCAATACAAACATTGGAACACAACGGAAAAATTATCAGTGCAAGCTTTGAAATTTTTCGCAGTTCTCCTGAGGCCTCCTGATGGTTCCAAATGGCTTACGGCCCCGAAGCTTCCCCTTCATACCGGGTAACCTGTTCCCGATGCCTATTTGCCACCACGCAGGAGACCTAGATCTCCCGACATGAATATTCACTGATGATGTTGATTATCGGCGAAGGTACCTTGGAGCTTTCCCGATTATTGGGAGCCATCCCCGATGATTAACGGTAATTTCTCGGGGGGCATTCCCAGAAATTTTGTGACCATAGCCGAAGTATCAGTGCACGCTGTGTCTTTGGGAAAAAAGAGCAAGAGCCATCGGGAGAAAATTTGTTTATTTCTATATTGCCGATGATTTTTCCCCAGTGGTACCTAGGCATTAGTTCATGAAATATAGTTAGTGATCAGCCATTTTCCAAATTGTACACAAAAATTGTATGACAGACTGGGTTTTGTTATTAACAGTTTGCTTAACTTAAACAGTGTATTTCATACATGTAGTTTGTCGAATAAATATACATAACAGGTAAACCTTTTTAAGTAAATATCTTGAAAATGTAAGTTAGTTGAAAGTTCAAGGTAGTATCTTGAAAATTCAAATTAGTATCTTGAAAATTCAAGTTAATATCAAGTAGTATCTAGAAAATTCAAGTTAGAGTTTAAAAGGTTAAGTTAATATCTTAAAAGTTTAAGTTAATATCTTAAAAGTTTAAGTTAATATCTTAAAAGTTTAAGTTAATTTCTTGAAAATTCCAAGTTCTTAAAAGTTTAAATTAATAACTTAAAAATTAGGTTAAAATCTTAAATGTTTAAGTTAGAGATGCCTTCACATGTACAAACTGTATGATGTTATTATATTTTTGGGCTAAAACATATCCAAACTAATTAATCTATCAAAAATTTGCTTCATATCCCTCTCAAAACAGTTTAATAATATCAAGTAGTATCTAGAAAATTCAAGTTAGAGTTTAAAAGGTTAAGTTAATATCTTAAAAGTTTAAGTTAATATCTTAAAAATTCCAAGTTCTTAAAAGTTTAAATTAATAACTTAAAAATTAGGTTAAAATCTTAAATGTTTAAGTTAGAGATGCCTTCACATGTACAAACTGTATGATGTTATTATATTTTTGGGCTAAAACATATCCAAACTAATTAATCTATCAAAAATTTGCTTCATATCCCTCTCAAAACAGTTTAATAATATCAAGTAGTATCTAGAAAATTCAAGTTAGAGTTTAAAAGGTTAAGTTAATATCTTAAAAGTTTAAGTTAATATCTTAAAAATTCCAAGTTCTTAAAAGTTTAAATTAATAACTTAAAAATTAGGTTAAAATCTTAAATGTTTAAGTTAGAGATGCCTTCACATGTACAAACTGTATGATGTTATTATATTTTTGGGCTAAAACATATCCAAACTAATTAATCTATCAAAAATTTGCTTCATATCCCTCTCAAAACATTGTATTCGTAAAGAGATATGCTCCAAGATGTTTGTCACATTATTTGATTGAGGGAGGGTCCATTTCAGAATGCATTTGCCGTTACTTACTGTTCATTTTCCGTACATATTGAAGCCTAAGTAAATTCTTTACTTATCCTCTGCCAAATAATTTTTCCGCCGTTTGATTGCAGGGTCTGCTGTACCTTTAAACCCCCTGGTGTTCCCCAAACCACTTAACTATAATAACAAATAATAACTGATTCCTAAGTCAATCTGGCAGACAATAAGCCGTCAGGCTCACAGTAATTAATACCCTGACATCTTTGCCCAGTGCCTGTCCCATCCAGTATTTTTGTAGTAAGATTGTGTGTCTCTTCGTTCCATATATAACAAATTTGCCATACTTTTATTGGAAATAACTACTCTATAAACACTTTTGTGAGAATGTATCTTTAATATCTTAAAAGTTTAAGTTAATATCTTAAAAGATTAAGTTCAAGTTGAAATTTAACAAGCCAACAGTGAGGCTGATGTCCCCAGCTGAAATCCCCAAATAAATAGATGACACATATTAATTAATCGCACATCTATTTTTTTCCAAAGTATCAAGCAATCAAACTGATTATCAACTATGCACTAAGTTTCATCACTCTCTATCAGATAGAATCAAAGTTATCTTGTCCCAAAGCAGGAAATTGCTTATCTCTGCTTAGATTTAGATCGATATGTTAATCATTGAACTCAGCCAAGACGAACATCTACATCAAGTTTAAACATTCTACCTCAATTAGAAGAAGAGTTGTTGAACTCAGTCAAGACGAACATCTACATCAAGTTTAAACATTCTACCTCAATTAGAAGAAGAGTTTGACCAATCAAAATGCTTATTGCTCGTTAGCCTAAGCAGAAAATTCTCATTATCTAGCTCAATTAGAAGGAGGGTTATTGTGTTCCAAAGTCTCGGCCAATCAAATTGCTTATCGCTCTGCTTACCCTGAGCAGAAAATGCTCATCATCGAACTTAGTCAAGGTATTGATGTAATGAAACTATACACCAAGTTTCATCACTCTCACTTAATTGGAACTAAAGTTATCATGTCCCAAAGCATCAACCAATCAAATTGCTTATCTTTGCTTACCCTAAGCAGAAAATGCTTATCTTCACACTCCATCAAGGCATTGACCTAATAAACACCTACACCAAGTTTGAACATTCTAGCTCAATTAGAAGGAGGGTTATTGTGTTCCAAAGTCTCGGCCAATCAAATTGCTTATCGCTCTGCTTACCCTGTGCAAAAAATGCTCATCATCGAACTTAGTCAAGGTATTGATGTAATGAAACTATACACCATGTTTCATCACTCTCACTTAATTGGAACTAAAGTTATCGTGTCCCAAAGCATCAACCAATCAAATTGCTTATCTTTGCTTATCCTAAGCAGAAAATGCTTATCTTCACACTCCATCAAGGCATTGACCTAATAAACACCTACACCAAGTTTGAACATTCTAGCTCAATTAGAAGGAGGGTTATTGTGTTCCAAAGTCTCGGCCAATCAAATTGCTTATCGCTCTGCTTACCCTGAGCAGAAAATGCTCATTATCGAACTTAGTCAAGGTATTGATGTAATGAAACTATACACCAAGTTTCATCTCTCTCACTTAATTAGAACTAAAGTTATCGTGTCCCAAAGCATCAACCAATCAAATTGCTTATCTCTGCTTACCCTAAGCCGAAAATGCTCATCTTCGAACTCCATCAAGGCATTGACCTAATAAACACCTACACCAAGTTTGAACATTCTAGGTCAATTTGAAGGAGAGTTATTGTGTCCCAAAAAGTGTGACGGACGGACGGACGGACAGACAGACAGACGAACCCATTTTAATAGTCCCCTGCTTTCTTCGAAAGGCGGGGGACAAAAATGTTAGTAGTAATCTTAAATGGTTTTATTTCAAGATATTACCTTGACAGGAGGGGGGGGGGGGGGGCGAATGGTTAGCACGCGCTCGCTGTATCATAGCGTCTGTCATTGAGTCAACTGACAGGGTTTTGATTCCCCGGTTGTACGTGACAAGGAGTAGGGTCGCCTGTCCAACCTCGTGGGTTTTCTCCGGGTCCTCCGGTTTCCTCCCACTGCTAAAAACCCCTATGCGCAAGCAAATTATTGAAATAAAAGGTCATCAGATCTGGTTTGGGATGGGTGAGTTACCTCCACTTTGACCACATCAGTAAAACCCATCTATTTGAATTTCTCAGGGAGTTTTGCCCCAAAAATGTCTTCCGATCGGACCAGGATTTCGTGACCGGATAGATTGACCTCACATTTGTTCTTCATTTTCTAAAATCACCAACCAGAAGTAGTGACCTGGACTCGCTAGGGGCCCCTGGAATATTTCGGTTTTTGCCCCCCCCCCCCCCCCCTAGGGACCCATCTAATAAAGACAGGACCACCCGACCTTGACCTTCCGACATGGCATCAAGGCCCACATGACCGTGGTAGGTCAAGGTCATCTGAAAAGGTCAAAGTCACCAAAATATCTACCAACTTGTGTGCTCTCCCGCATCTGGTGGGGCCCCGGGCCCACATGGCAAAACAAAGGTCATAACCTTCAATGGACAACTCACTGACCTTTCGAATGAGACCTTGATCTTTGACCTGAATTTTGACCTTGGGATGGTAAATATCCAAAACAGTAAATCACCTCCACAAAGGCTGAAATATGGTGTGCCGCAAGGTTCGGCACACCTCTCCTTTAGGATACATCATAAGAAAACAAAAATTGACAACCAACTTTACGCCTACAATACACAAATGTATATCACGCTGAATAAGGGTAACAAGACCAAAAACATAACAAAGTTGGAGGCCTGCATTGCGGATGTAAGATCATGGATAAAACTAAATCTTCCAAAATTGAATGATGATAAAACTGAACTGATACAATTTTTTAAACCTAAAGGTAATACAAACTTTAAGTTATTATTAAATTATTATAGGTTGCCTGACAACGAAACATACACCCACAGCAGTTATGTCATCCAGGCAGTCAACAAGGGTTGTTAATAATGAAAACATATGCAACACATGAAAATCTGAATACATGTAACAACCCATTAAGTAATTACCAGAAATCATTAGATTTTGTTTCAATTGTTTGTTTCATGACCTGAAACACTGTGTTTTAATTTCTATTAACTTTCTAGAGTGTCCACGATTGATTCTGACAGTTTGTATTTTTAAATCTGAATAGAAAATATCAACACTATTGGCTTACATTTCTTCTGCTGTACCTTTAACTAAAACCCATGGTTTATTAGATTGCATCATCTGATTACCTAGTCGAGATATATTCAATATGTTTCTTATAGAATCTCGTAATCTGAAATATTAACATGTACAATTAAACAATAAATAATAACACGCATTTATGAAAGTACACTAACTAGTGTATTTAGTCAACCAAGGCTCACACTGTCTATTGCCATTTCTGCCAATTGCGATAAAAATAGAACTTTGGGTACAAAATTTTAAATCTGCAGATTTTTTGGCAATAATTTCACCAGTCAATAAATTTTACTTGTCACAAAGCTTTGTTTATTTTTCACGTCATTTATCCTGTGCCTGCTGGATTAATTATGAATCAATTATATATCAATAATAGAAATATGTTTTGTCTATTTAATTATTTATCTTCAAATATGAATCAGTGGCTTTGATAGTTTCTATATAACATAGCCACACAAAGCTTGGAAATACACGCACACAGCAGCTTTGTCTCAAATTCAAGCTTATCCAAAAGGAAAAATTGTGGCCTCTAGAGAGCTGACAAGCAAAATTATGCCAATTAATGTTCCATAACTCTAGAACAAAAATAGAGATTGCATTCAAATTCAATTCCAAATGTCGTCAACTCATAAGAATTGTTTTCCTAAGGTTTGAACAAAATTGTTGCCTCTATAGAAAGTGGACAAGCAAAATTCAATCCCAATTATCATCTACCCATAAGAATCATTATCGGAAGGCTTGATCAAGATTTGTCACCCAGCGGTTGTCAGGCAGGATACGCCCACATTTTCGAGAGATGGATAGAGAACAAGCTAAAAATAAAAGTGATTTTTCCTACAATTAAGGGCCATAATTCAGGAAATTACAATTTGATATACCATATTTTTACGCCATTTGAGAACAAACGGCGGCAATATTGTCTGTCACAACCAATTAAATTGCTTATCCCTGCTTACCCTAAGCAGAAAATGCTCATCTTCGAACTCCATGAAGAAGACGCTGACCTAATAAACACCTACACCAAGTTTGAACATTTTAGCTCAGTTAGAAGGAGAGTTATTGTGTTCCAAAGTCTCGGCCAATCAAATTGCTTATCGCTCTGCTTACCCCGAGCAGAAAATGCTCATTATCGAACTTAGTCAAGGTATTGATGTAATGAAACTATACACCAAGTTTCATCACTCTCACTAAATTAGAACTAAAGTTATCGTGTCCCAAAAAGCATCAACCAATCAAATTGCTTATCTCTGCTTACCCGAAGCAGAAAACGCTCATCTTCACCTACACCATGTTTGAACATTCTAGCTCAATTAGAAGAAGAATTATTGTGTCCCAAAAAGTGTTACGGACAGACAGACAGACAGACGGACATTCGGACGGATGAACCCATTTTAATAGTCCCCTGCTTTCTTCAAAAGCCGAGGGACAATAAGCAACATTAGAGAGACAAGCCAAAATTATACATAAAATAGACCATAAAATACTATTTGATCGAGATTAAAATCTGTTTGACATATCTATAAACTTGTGGACTTGATTAAACATATTAGTGTTAACATCAAGACTGTAGGTTGTGGAGCCAAATAAAAGACAGTTTATATTTTTAAAATCATGTTGTAGTTTGTCTATGGTTTCTGTTTGTGCATTTGAATGTAATGATGAACATCCAAGAAGGTAATGATCAGGATCTTCAAATATATGACCGCAGAGGCATGCGGGGACTGTCGGCAACATATCTTAGGAATTTGTGAGTCCTGCTGGTCAGAGCATCGAAGTTGTAATTTACAATGAATTATTTGAGGCTTCTGCTGACCTTTATAATAAAACGAAGGAACTTTGATATCAGATTTGGAGAGATGGTCAGAAAATATGTCCAGAGTTCTAGAGTTCCTTGCAGGGGTACTGAGTTTATTCCTCTCTCTTATACTGGATGGGATAAATGATTTAGCAAAAATTTCAGTACAACATCAAATTTCTTTTAATTTGTCTTCATTTCGAAGGGAATATTTGTTTGTTGGTTCAAGGTTTATGAAATTCTTAAGATAAGGAGGGCTTAGGTTATTGATGATTTTGTAAAGTAGTTTTAATTTATGTTGATTTCGTGTTTCTTTAAGTGGAATAATCCCAGTTTCTGCGTAGAGGGAAGCATGGCTAGTACCCTTAACTGCCCTACAAATAGTGTGTAGTGTGTCAAGCTGAAGATATTCAAGATTATTACATAAGTAGTCAGTTACAGCTATGTAGGTAATTTTTTTACTTGTAAAATTCGTCCTCGTGGGTTTTCTCCGGGTCCTCCGGTTTCCTCCCACTGCTAAAGACCCCTACGCGCATGCAAATTATTGAAATAAAATTAAACCATGTTAGTCCCGAAATGACCTAGTTTGTGTCGAGTGGACGTTAAACCACATCTCTCTATCTCTTTTTTGTAAAATTCAGTGATTTTGGATTTGTAAAACTACTTGAAAATATATTTATTCCAAAGCCAACACCCATTCTTCGGGGGGTAGGTCAAAATTTCAGATCTTACAGTTAGTTTCTGAGATATAAGCTTGGCAAGAAATACAAAAAAAAAAAAAAAGATCAGAAAGATCTTACGGTTAGTTTCTGAGATATAAGCTTGGTAGTATAAACAAAAAAAAACCAAGCCAACAGTGAGGCTGATGTCCCCTGCCGAAATCCCCAAATAAATAGATGACATATGTGACTGGCTGCATCTAAATGAGTCGGGATGCGCGAGAATCAATAATGAGATAAAGACAAAATAAGTGAAAATATTGATTTTGAACGAAATTGAGATTTTCACAAAAATGAGTCTATAAATATACTATCTATCGACACAGAAGATCAAAATAGCAATAAAACATTTTAAAACACCTGTATTTGAACGTTTTGTAAGAGTACCGTATTCTTAAATCTGTCCTATTTCTTAAAATTCTAGGTGAAATTAGTTATTTGTCTTCGCTCGCAGCGGGACGACCGGTCATTTCTCTTGCATAACAATTGGCATTGTTGTAAAGCGGAGCATCTCTAGTTGATAAATATGATCAAAATATTGTCGATGAAATGATTTTGAACGGATACAATCGAGTTTTAAAACCCTCCAAACATATAAATAAACTCCGCCTGTTGCCATGCTGTCCACACAACTCCTTTGCTGATTGGCCCAGACAACGCGTGCAAGACATTATCCATAAATATTTGGTTTTGGCGATAATGTTTTTGGCTACTTACATGCGATTCACTCTGATATGTGGCAGAAAAAAAAAAAATTCTGGGCCCAGTTGTTCAACTTGTCGTTAAATTTAACAATGTCGTTAAATCATTTAACGACATCGTTAAATTTAACGAAAGAAGAAGTCTGTTGTTCATTGTGTCGTTAAATTTAACGCATGGTTATGTCATCGTTAAAATGGTCCATATTTAACCCACCTAGCAGGGCATCGTTAAATTATTTAACCGGTCGTTAAATCATTCAAGATGGCGTGCAGACAGGTACTCATGGCCATGCCTCCCACTTTAAACAGGAGAAAAAGGGTATACAGGTGTATTTCAAGTTCAAGCTCAATGATTCAGGACCTTACCGACTCGGAGTTAAGGGCTCGATACAGATTTGGAAAAGATTCCTTTGAATATATATGTAATATTCTTGAAGAAGATCTAAAAAGTTCCAGTACCAAGCAAATCAGTCTGACAGTAGAACAGCAAGTAGCTATTGCCCTCCGTTTTTATGCCAGTGGTTCATTTCTACAGGTGATTGGTGATACTCTTGGTCGAGACAAAAGCAGCGTCAGCAGGGTAATAGATCGTGTAACAAATGCTCTTCTTAAGCAACAACATAATTTTATAAAATGGCCCACCACTCATGAAAGTGTTCATATAAAGTCAAGCTTTTATGAACAGGCACAGTTCCCAAATGTAATAGGCTGTATCGATGGCACACATATTCGCATTCAGGCTCCCGGTACAGATGAACCAGCTTATGTCAACCGTAAGGGCTACCACAGTATAAATGTGCAAGCTGTCTGTGATCATGAAGGTATTTTTCTTTGTTTTCTAACGTTTTTTCTCCGATTTCCCCAATGGATTTCACATTTGTTAGCATGTTCTTCCATTGAAGCCTTGACCTTGTTAGGGAGCAAGGGATAACTCCATAATCATTGATACCCACAAATTGTAATAGATGGAATGAGACCACATATTATTATCCCATTGCCCCAGCCATATTCAGGCTTTTCGCACATACATGTACACATAGATATAGCGTATCCGGCAAGTTATTTAACATATGGCAAATCTATTCTAACTCAAAGTTCATGACAAATTTTTGCTGTAGTTATAATAATGATTTAAACTGTGGTTCATTAGATTGTACGATTTTTGGTGATCTAATACATAGGCCTATATATTAAACTTTCGTTGAAACTTAATACTTTTAATCAATATTTCAGGAAAATTTACTCAAATAACAGCTAAATGGCCAGGCTCTACACATGATTCCCACGTATTTAAAACTTCCTCTTTGTGTAACGATTTAGAATTAAATCATAAAAGTATATCCGACGGAATTATTCTTGGAGACAGTGGATATGCATGCAGAGCATTTTTGCTTACGCCCTTTCGAAATCCACAAGCCAGACACCACCAACGCTTCAACACTAGCCATTCATCAACAAGATCAACAATAGAAAGAACATTTGGGATCTGGAAGCGGCGATTCCATGTCCTTCATTCTGAGGTAAAAATAGAAATAATGCAAAAATTATATATACTGGTATTGCCATACCTATAACTACAGCTCGGTGGGTTCATAGGGATGATGTTAATAATAATAATAATATTAAAACTTGGCATATTTACTGTTTTATACGTCCACATTAATAAAAAAAAATACATATATATGTGATGTCTTATCAAAGTTCACATTTTTAAAATTAATATTTTTAAGATAAGAATGAAGCCAGGGAAAGTTTGTCGTATTGTTGGAGCGTGTGCCATTTTGCATAATATTGCAATAAAAATGAAAGAACCGCTGGGTGAAGAAAGTGTCCTGGATGTGCCTCAACAACCTGTTCCAGTTCCGGATTTCACTGGTCC